AGAAAATCTAATTTTTTAGTATAAATTGACTTTGTTGAATGACACTACCTAATGTCAGACACTCCTGGGTTCCATCAGCAGGAAAGACGTCGCATGAAAACGGTAGAGACACTCCTCGCGGGCCGCATGCTGCGTTTACCTCCTCACAGACACTTCTACACAGGAAAACCTGTCAATAGATAACTGTGTTAGCCGAGTCATATACTGATATACTGAACTAGATTTGAGAAGGCAGGAAAAGATGGAGTGGTTACTAAACTCACAATGGCAAACACGAAGAGGCAATGAGATAATGCTCACCCTAGAGCCATTTTCACATTTGGGCAGAAACATTGAGCAGTAAAGCTGGTAAATGTTCGTGTAGCACATAGAGATGTTTGGTACCAGGGCGTTGAAACCTTGGAACTCGGGTGATATTGAGACGTCAACCTGAGACGTATGGTTAAAAGCGTTGGGGAATCCAGTGTAGTCATAGTCAATGTAGGAAGAGCAGAATTCCCATGGGATTGGGTCACATGTTGATGATGCTGAAAAGTAATACAAAATACTTTTAACAAGCCAAAATATATCTAACAAATACGGCCAAAAATCTAGACTAAATTCCATTATTTCCCTTTTCTTAATAGTAGCCTGGGTACCAGACTCATTGGACACAAAGTATCTCAGTGAGCAGTGTACTATGGGTCTGGCACCCAGGCTACATATAATAGTAAGTAATTACTACTAAATGTCAATTGTAGTTGTAAAGGATATGGCACGTTTTCAACGTCACGCCTTAAGCTTGTCAATATACAATATTCTACGATTCCTGGCTTACCTATGGTCAGACACTCCTGAGTTCCATCAGCAGGAAAAGCGTCGCATGAAAACGGCAGAGACACTCCTCGCGGGGCGCATGCTGCATTTACCTCCTCACAGACACTTCTACACAGGAAAACCTGTCAAAATCCCATAGAGTACCATGTTAGGTCGCAATTATAGAAACACAGGGCACTTTCTGTGGATTTGAGATGATGGAAATGCGAAGAAGTGGTTACAGAAATCAGAAGTGCAAAAGTAAATGAGACATGGGACGCTTACCTTAGAGCCATTTTCACATTTGGGTAGGAACACTGGACAGTAAACCTGGTAAATGTTCGGGTAGCAAATAGAGAGGTTTGCCAAAAGGGTGGTGAATTCTTGATACTCGGCTGATAATGCTAGGTCCAGCTGGGAGGCATGATCAAACGAGTTGGGGAATCCAGTGTGGTTATAATCTATGAAAGAACTGCAGAACTCCCATGGTACTGGCTCACATGAAGATGAAGAAGATGAAGCTGTAACACAGAAAAAACATCAATTTCAAGTTTCAACACAAAAGATCCATTAAATCTACGGTCTGCCACCATAGATTGCTTTCTGGACGCCTACCGTAGCGTCAGTAGTTACATTTTTGTTGTCAGACAACAAAGACATGTATAACCGGCGTGCCCTAACTCATAGCAGCAGTTCCAAGATAGCCAAAATATTTATAACAAACACCATTAATGTCATAATATTCAGAAACAACCGTGACTTAATTCCTTAATTCTCCATTTAAATTAGAGCAATGAATTACAATTTTAGTTGTAAGGCACTTGACACATGTTCAACGTGACGCCTTTAACTTGTCAACACTACTTTGTATTTAGAGCCTACCTAATGTCAGGCACTTCTGGGTTCCGTCAGCAGGAAAAACGTCGCATGAAAACGGCAGAGAGACTCCTCGTGGGCCGCATGCTGCGTTTACCTCCTCACAGACACTTCTACACAGGAAAACCTGTCAAAAGTCAAAAGCACTGTGTTTGACCACACTTTGATGAGAAATCCTGAATTGGTTAATTGTAAGTGCAAAAACACGAAAAGGCAATGGAAAGGCGCTCACCGTAGAACGATCTTCACATTTGGGCAGGAACGTTTGGCAGTAAACCTCGTAAATGTTCGGATAGCAAATAGAGATGTTTGCCAACACGGCGGTGAATTCTTGATACTCGGCTGATAGTACTATGTCCAGCTGGGAGGTATGGTCAAACGAGTTGGGGAATCCAGTGGAGTTATAACCCATGAAATAGGTGCAGAGGTCCCATGGTACTGGCTCACATGAAGATAAAACTGAAACAAAAAGAACACCTTTTATCATTTGAAACCCAGCCTTTCTCTACATCAAGAGCCAATCTGCTTCCTTACCATATGCTTAGAACATTCCTCAACCCTTGAAACGTTAACAACATAGGTGGATAAAATTATGTACTCACAAGATGTTCGTTCCATAGAATAATATGTCTAAAGGTTTTATTCAATTATCTAAAAAAAAATAACATTATGTGTGTAAATGGAGACTCCGTTACCTGAGCAGAAGACGCTAACATCTTCAGAGTGGCCACAGTTGTGGTCGCCCCATCCATTTGATGGACAGTCCAGTAGATTTCCCTCATCTCCCTCACACCCAACTTCGTCTAACCATATGGGACCACTGCCGTATCCAAAATACGCAGACCCTTCGTACGACGTTGCGAGTCCATATCCGAGTTGCCTGCAGACGACATGTGCATCGTCGATGTCAAAGCTGTCATCGCAGACTGTGCCCCATTCTCCGTTACCTCGCCGGATCTCTACACGGCCCTGTGCCGGGTTGGTTCCTCCGACAAGACGTATCTCCACTAGTGCAAAAAAGATATATGTAAAGGGTAATTCAAATGTTAGGTGTGCATAGATTTGATCAACGACTAAATCTAACATTAGGTATATGTACGATAAATGATTTGAAGTGCCATTTTCACTCTTTGCTTACAACAAAAGTTGTTAAAATAAGGTACTTACAGGACGCGTTGCTAGTTGTATCTGTAGAAAAAGATCAGATAGAACTTAGAATCTTCTTACAAGAAATACATGTGTTTAACATTTATCTTCCATCAACAAAGTAAAAATAGAAAAATAAAATGAATACAACCTGCTATCATATTATTGTATGTATGTAATGTATCATACCATTGTATTACAACCAAAGCAGTTCCTATAGCATTAACATATTTAGAAACGACATTGCAACGTCTGATACGACAGAATTTTTCTTTAGTGGCCTGGCAGGGTAGTGTCCGTGACTAGGAAGGTTATTATAGCAACTTTTGCAAGGTTCCTTACTTGAACAGATGACCCCAACATCTTCAGAGTGGCCGCAGTCGTGTTCTCCCCAGTCGCGAGATGGACAGTCCAGTAAACTCTCCTCATCTCCCGCACACCGTACATCGTCTAACCAAATAGGCCCGCTGCCCTCCCCAAAGACGTCTGATTCCGTATATGCCAGCGCATAGCCAAATCCAAGTTGTCTACATACGACGTTGACGGCGTTCATGTCAAAGTTGTCATCGCAGATCGTGCCCCATTCTCCGTCACCAGTCCGGATCTCCACACGACCTTCGTATTCCGTCGCTCCTCCAACAAGCCGTATTTCAGCTGTTCAATAAAAAAATAAAACGTTCGATTATTAATGAAATATACATAACGTTACATATATTGATTTTTAAACAACTAACTCGTATATTACTGAATACGTGACAGCTGCCTATATTCAATTTGGGAGAGTGAAACTTAATGATAATTTTATCTATAGTATGCGTACGGCCAGGTAAGAGTTCATAGGGCCTAGCGCCTATGATCGCACGTAACTTTATGAACATTAGTGTCACATCCTCTCCCCTGCTGTATATGTTTTACCTGGGGGCACAACGACTTCTACTTGGCTCACACTCAGGTCACCAAGACGTCCTCCATTGTCGTTGATGTACTGCCGGAGAGTTGATACCACAGCCTCATCTGAAGGTAGAGCTTGTCCGTTGTATTGAAACTGGACACCAAGAATGGCGATCACGCTTCCCGAGCTGAAAAGAAGGGAACAGGCAAGTTTAGCACTGATACACAGTGAGGGCATACCTCGACTATATTAAGATAAGTTCTGCTTTAATCAAAAATGTCTTTTAGGGATAAGATTACTATTTGCATTTTTTTTTCTTCTTAGGCCATGTTGATTTGATTATATGGATGACATCCGCGCGCGCATGAATTTTCGGCCGTTTAAAATAAAAAAGGTTTCAACCATACTGTAAATCGTGCAAAACAGTTGCTAAATGAGCAAAAATATACCATAAGTTGCAAGGAAAACATTTAGAAACGATACCAATGTCGTAGAATGCCAAAATCAAAGGAAAAAAGACATGTAAAGAAATGAATTCGAAGAGTAGATTATTCGCCATAACATATTCTGTGCCATTTGTTCAACCTTCATGACCACGTAGATTTCATAGTGAAAGCAACTTTTTTTTTTGCAAAACTTTTTTTTATTCGCACGCGCGCATCAGTTTTGGGGTTCCCAGAGGATGTCATCCATATAATTCAATCAAATCAACATGGCCTTACAAAGGTACTTTCACAACAGGTAAGATTTCCCAGACGAAAGGGACAAGAATAAACGAAGGCACATTTGCAAGAATTTGTCTTTGTCTTAATCACAAGCTGCAACAATGGAATTTCGGTGTATAAAATAGGTACACCGTTGAAAACTTTCGTGCATATTCAAAAGCTGTAGTTATTACAAAGTAACTGCTGTAGTATTTTTTTGTGTGATAATTCTTCTCTAAAACAAGAACATGATATGCAATTCTCGAAAAAACAGCATACAACAGCATACAGAAGTCCATTACAAGAATCTATATTTACCGAAACCTCTCAACAGTTGCTTGTCTGAAGCTGGAGATGGCTTCAAAAGCTTTGGATGCCTGCGGACCAAGAAGATAGACATATGTTGATTGATGTGCACGCACAAGTTACACAATGTTTCTTTTTAATTATATTTTTCTAATAACAAGAAGTGAGTAAAGGTATCGGTATCATTGCAGATACGTTACCTCACTTTCCAAAGTCCCTGCCAGCATCCGGTACCTTGAGCTGTTCCTGTCATTGAGATCCTCACTAAAAACTTCATCAGGTAACGTCAGCTTGGTGGAGACAATCACTAAAAAAATAAAAAAAATTATCCACATTAAAGACCAAAGCAATGTATGCAAAATTAAACAGAATACACCCTCTTACCATCATATGCGCATGTGTGGAGAGGAAAAGGTTGTTATGTACATGCATAGTATATTCAATTGGTATAAAGAAGTAGTAATGAAAATAACATGTCACTTACCTGGATACGGTCTGATACATTGGGTCCGGGCATTAAAACTGTTACAGTCGAACGGCCAGGGCTGTCCCCTGCCCACCAGGACCTGTTCGCAACTTGCCCTGATATCATTGCAGAAGTCCCTGCAAGGTGTTATCTGCATCCAAAAGAGCGACAAGTTAGGCATAGTTTCGTAAAATCATATATCAATACTTATTTTGATACTCTACGTTCATTACTCCGATTACAGTATAACTGTTCTAGGTAACTAGTTCGCATAACGTTCGTACTTTATAGCATCCCTAGAGCAGCGCAGGATTGTGATGCTATTTTTACAATATCTAAGAACCATCTACGTAATTCCCTCATCATTTAGACAATTACCTGCACCGAGTCGATACAGTTTGGCACCAGTGCAGAGCAGACGGCGAATTCTACATCGGGGTGACAGCCGCTGTTCATCAGAGCGGTGATTACGTTAACACTGTCCTGGTCAGTAAGGAAAGACTGCTGGGAAACATGGCCCAGCAGGTTGGGGAACGTTGTGGTGTTGTATGGCACAACATTTCTGCACATTCCGATGTTGATGGGCTCACATTGTACTGAAAATAACGAACAAGTAACAAGTAATAAGGACATAGGTTAGAACGTTTGCAAGTGTATAAAGAGGCGACCATACCTCTGGTACAAATATAATTAGACTATACGAAATCAATACAGACAACAAATATTCTGCCCAATACCAGGGGGCAAAAGTGTATATAAGTTCTTTTAGGCATTGAAAACTATCACCACGCATCCTCTAAAACACAAATGTGTAAAACTCAATGACCATATTTTAAAGATAATTAGAGTTTTTGAACATGTAGGACATCTAATCAATCGTCCATGATAATAGCCTTACCTTGTACCCACACTAACCAAGCCCAAGTTTCCTAGCTAGGAGTGGATGAAATTGTGCCCTCCACAGATGTTCAGGGTGAGTGACAGATGTTCCACATACAGTTTAGTAAACTATTCTAAATGTGCCTGAAAGTTTTATCCTACTATCTAAAAGATAAGCTGATATGGAGACTTCATTCCGTACCCAAGCAAACGACTCCAACGTCTTCTGAGTGGTCGCAGTCGTGTCGGCCCCATCCAAAGGATGGACAGTCCAGTAGATTTTTCTCATCTCCCTCACACTCAACTTCGTCTAACCATATGGGACCACTGCCGTATCCAAAATAAAAAGAGCTTTCGTAAGATTCTGCAAGTCCATATCCGAGTTGCCTGCAGACGACATGTGCATCGTCGATGTCAAAGCTGTCATCGCAGACTGTGCCCCATTCTCCGTTACCTCGCCGGATCTCTACACGGCCTTCATTCCGGCGGCTTCCTCCAACAAGACGTATCTCCGCTGAGAAAACAAAAAAGGATATGTAAGGGATGATAATTTTACGGTGCACACGTACCATTAATTGATGATATTCTGAATTAGTGCATCGGTAACTGGCATCGCTGGGCTTCAAGCAATTTGAATGTTTATTCATTTTCATTTCATGCACACATTTCATTCTCAGTGCGTAACAGATAACTGTTAGAATACAAAGTAATGCAATGCAATTCTATTAGTTCTTCAATGGCTACATACATTTGAATTTCACAGAATGCTTTAACTGACTCTGGGTGACGATCTTAACACCTAAATTCAAACAAATATGTATGTTAACATCAATGCTTCTTTATTTGTAAAAGTGGACAACTCTGCATTAATTTTCTAAGCTGCCCATTTATGCTAAACATTTTGCACTCTTTAGACATTTTCCCACTCACTGGCTAATATTTACAATGATGCAATGCATAAGATTTTCCTTTACTTTCCAAACAGTTTTACGGCAGGGGATCCGTGATATATACATCTACATGGCCTGCCATCGCACTTCACTTTATGTATGATTACAGCACTATTTAGTAATACATTTTTGATATTCATAGATATCTCCCAACCGCTATATACAGTACATATATATATATATATATAGATATATTACCTGGGGGCAGAGCAACGTTCACTTGGCTCACACTCAGGTTACCAAGACGTCCTCCAGTTTCATTGACGTACTGCCGGAGAGTTCCTACCACAGTCTCATCTGAACTTAAAGGTTGTCCTGAACTTTGAAACTCCAGACCAAGAGTGGCCCTCACGCTTCCAGGGCTGAAAAGAGGGAGAAAGCAATGATTTAGCGATATGATACACGAGACATGTATGACACACCATAAAGTAATATAACATTTCCCAATGACAAGGAAAACACTAGTACTAGTATATACAAAAAAAGCTGGCACCAAGTTATACTCTTGCAGAAAACATTTTTCTGTTTGAATCTTTTTTTTCTGACCAGCACAATCAACAAAACTTCATACGACAATTACAATAGTAGCACTAAACACTCGTATGTACTCTCACCAAGTTACTCTTATAGTGAACATTTTCTTTTTGATCCTTCTTTTTCTAAACAGGACAATGTTTTTAATTTCACAAAGCTACGATAGAAGATGAAAAGAATCCATATTCACCGTAAGCCCTTTACAGTTGCCTGGCGGAAGCTAGGATTCGCTTCAAAGGCTTTAGATACCTGGAAACAAAGGATATATACATTGGCTAGTACAGTACCAGGCATTACCGGTATTGATATGCACGTATTGATATGCACAGACAAGCTATAAAATGGTTATCTTAAAGAAATTTCAGAGTTGAAGTATTAGGAGGTCTACAGGTTTGGTGAACTACCTCACTTTCCAAAGTCCCTGCCAGCATCCGGTACCGTGGACTAGTCATGTTATTGAGGTCCTCAGTAAAAACTTCATCAGGTAACGTCAGCTCGGTAGAGACCACCACTAAAAAAACAATCACATACTTTCAAGAGAAAAGCCATGTAAAATACTATAAAAATGTAACATATTTTTAATCAAACGCTTTGAATAGATGTGGTGTTAACCCTCTTATTATATAGTATGCACTTGTGTGGATAGGGTTGTTGACGTGGATGTTATGTACACATGCACGATATGTTCAATCAGTGCAAAGTAGCAGTAGAAACAAACTTCACCTACCTGGATACGGTGTGATACATTGGGTTCGGTCATTGAGCCTGCTACAGTTGAATGGCCAGGGCCATCCCAGGTCCAACAGGACCTGTTCGCAACTTGCCCTGACATCATTGCAGAAATCCTTGCAAGGTGTTATCTGCGTGCAAGAGAGCGAAAATAAGGCATCTTTTCTGAAAACCATGCTTGTCACATTGCTCTCTTTGTACTCTCTCTCAAGGTACACCTTGCAAAAGCATATGATTGTTTTGACAATAGCTAAGAATGATGCAAACCTAACACCCTGATGATCTAGAGACTTACCTGCACCGAGTCGATGCAGTTTGGCACCAGTGCAGAGCAGACGGCGAATTCTACATCAGGATGACAGCCGCTGTTCATCAGAGCGGTGATTACGCTGACACTTTCCGGAGTGGTGAGGAAAGACTGCTGGGAAACATGGCCCAGCAGGTTGGGGAACGCCGTGGTGTTATATTGTACCACATTTCTGCACATTCCAATGTTGATTTGCTCACATTGCACTGAAAAAATAGATAAGGTTAAAAAGACAGCCAAACTACAAGGTCTAATAGATATAACCGGACTATTTATAAATTGATACAGACTTCAAATATAACATTTTGTCCTGTACCAGAGAGTACAATTTGAAACAAACAAGAGTGACATTTACACATGGTTTGGAGGGCATAAGCGTGATCACTCTTTCATGTTCCACATACAGTCAACATAGTCACTGACAAGAAGACTAAGTTCAAGATATAAATCTACAAATTTTCACTCTATTACATGCAGGGACGTCTTTACCTGCACAGACGACTCCAACGTCTTCAGAGTGGCCGCAGTCGTGGTCGCCCCATCTATTTGATGGACAGTCCAGTAGATTTTCCTCATCTCCCTCACACTCAACTTCGTCTAGCCAAATAGACCCGTTGCCCTGCCCGAAATACGCAGACCCTTCGTACGATGTTGCGAATTTATAGCCGAGTTGCCTGCAGACGACGTGTGCATCGTCCATGTCAAAACTGTCATCGCAGATTGTGCCCCATTCTCCGTTACCTCGCCGGATCTCTACACGGCCCTGTGTCGGGGTTGCTCCTTCAGCAAGACGTATATCCACTGTAAAAACAGTGAAAATGCCAAAAAGTATTAAAAACATTGTGTTTTGAGGTAATGACCATCACTGTTCTTAACGCAATTGTACTTTTCCAGTTTGCTGCCATAATGTTATGTAGAGCAATGCAATGGAATGGAATAGATCCGAAATCACTCTATTGTAACTGGTGTGTTTAATTGTCAAAACTATGATTATTGTACTGCTTTCAAGAAATAGACATGCATTTTATTTTATCATCTTATATTCTATATCATTTCTTCAATGTTTATCGTTAACTGGGTAAAAATACAAGTAAAAATACAATACTTACAAGACACGTTGCCGGCTGTATATGAAACAAATAAGATAATTAGAAGGAGTGATATTACACAAACATAAAATAGGTTAAAATTAGTTGAATGTTGAATGTTTTATTGCAAATTCATGCCCGAGAGCTAATTGGAGGAACAGAAGAAACATTTGGTATAAAAAAACAATTAGTACACATAGAACTACTAATAACTACTACGAAACTACTAGTGAAAAACTACTGGGTTTGACTTCTTTTTTTTAAGACAGAGGAAGACAAAGGATCCCACTTTTTCTGTAATTTGTGGGTTTTCGGATGTTAATAGTAGTTATTTGGGCGACTGATCAAATAGATTAATTAGATGCACGGAATACGACCCCTGAACTCACTTGACCCAGCGGTCATCTCTTGTATCTTGTCATCACGAGTAGCGGGCAGTGGGAGCTAACGTACTCGAGTTCATGTATGAGAGTAGTTTTCTTTTCATTTAAAATTAATGACGAAGTATATCAGGGCCACTATCCTTATATGGACCCCACCACCATTACCCTACACTTCAGTATTTTTCATAGTGCCCTGGAAGGATAGTTTCCATGGCCCACACCATTGCTAGTACATAATAACTGGGCAGTTTACCAGCAAAGTTTGTAAGCTTCCTCACCTGAACAGATGACCCCCACGTCTTCATAGTGGTCGCAGTTGTGTTCTCCCCAGTCGCCGGATGGACAGTCCAGTAAACTCTCCTCATCTCCCGCACACCGCACATCGTCTAACCAAATAGGCCCGCTGCCCTCCCCAAAGACGTACGAATCCGTATATTCCAGTGCAGGACCATATCCGAGTTGTTTGCAGACGACATTAGCGGCGTTGATGTCAAAGTCGTCGTCGCAGATCGTGCCCCATTCTCCGTTACCGGTTCTATTTCGGACCTCCACACGACCCTCGAATTCCGTCGCTCCTCCAACAAGCCGTATTACCGCTGTTGGATGAAGAGAGACAAACATCCGATTCATGATAAATATCATACATGTACATTCAAATGACTTGTCATCAACTATGTTTTTGGCACTAGCTATATAGCTAGAAATTGATACAAATATCAAACATTATGATATAAGGGCAAACTTTGAATAAGCATTGCTTTTCAGTCATTATACATAACGCTTAACTCTTAGCCTTAATCTTTTTTAACACACCACACATCCCCTACAGGAGAACTGTTTAAAAGTCAATTCCTTTTCTTAATATAAAAATCAATTCTTCGGTGATCTATAGTTTTCTTTTTATGTACAAACACATATCTAATCAAGAAACGCACTAGTACTCACCAAATGCAGCATCTGATTCCCCCATTGCACATCGAGGCCCATTGAAACCTGGTAGAAAATTAAAAGAAAAGAAGATACGTAGGAAGTACATAGGAAAGTAAAATCTAGCACGGAATATCATTACACATTGCTTGAGTCCATAATGAAACGGTAAAATATTGTAACAACAACAATGTTCCTTTCTACATCTTTAGATAGATCGTGCAAAATGTAGTTGAATTTTTTAAAATGGTCCAAGGATCAGTACATTTACTCACCATTCCGGCATTCGCAGCTGTAGTAGTCTTTACATGGGACTTGCATGCATTCGCCGTCGTTGAAGCAAGAGTCCTCCTCGCAAATACCGAGGACGAACTCGCAGCGGTAACCGGTCACACCTGGCGGGCAGACGCAACGGAATTCCGGGTCGCAGTCTTCTGAACCTTCCGAGCAGGCTGCTGTCACACACCTCCCGCCGTTCTTACACGTGTTCTCATCGCAGACAGTTGGTAACGGGATCTCACATGTCATACCTGTAATGGAAGAAGTTCAACATTTACAAAAGTGCTATGAAGTGAGTGCCTTGTGTGCAATTGTTGATATCATTATGACATTGTCCCTTGACACAAAATATGAATTAGTACATAATTATTTAATCTAGCTACTCTAAAAAAAAACGATATATCTGTGTCTGGATTCCCTTAACTTTCGTTTCGATACTTTCATACAATAGTCACTGGGATGTAACTACCTTACAGAGTCATTTTATGTTAGATTCGTCAGATTTAAGATGTCATCATGCTTGTACACTCACCAGTGAAACCTGGAGGACACTGGCAGGAGTACTCTGAACGGACGCTGTCTCCGTCCTCATCTCCCACGTCCATGGACATACATGTGCCGCCGTTAGCACAGGGGTTGTTGTTGTCTGGTGATGCACAAGGATCGGTGAAGTTCCCACATGTCTCACCGTGGTATCCCAGGCGGCACAGACACGAGAATTCATCATCACCCAAGTCACAGCAACTTGCACCGTTCATACAGGGGGAACTCTTGCAGGCTCCTGTGGCTGGAATGTATTGAAAAACAATTCTTGTAATTGGGTCCTACCTCATCTAGTCATCCTTTGGTAGTATATTTTATCAGTAGATTCCTAGTATATGTAGGTAAGATGAGAGAATTCGTGGATCAAATCTACATTGTCCACCGTATGTTTTGCTGCCATTTCATGTTTGCATTGTCTTTGCTTTGAAACAAAGTTTTACGAGTGAATAGGACAGGAACAGTAAATCTGTACGACGTATTTACAGGATTCAGAGAAACTTACGACAGCCTCTTTCGTCGCTCCTGTCCCCGCAGTTGTCTTCATCGTTACAGGTTCTGTTCTGGTGCACGCACATGCCGTTATCACACCAAAATACCTCTGGTTCGGAACAATCTGGGATGAAAGAAAATAATGCGAACAATTAAGGAGACTATGACATTTTCAAACGGAAACTGCGAATGTTACCTAATGTTTAATGTTTATAGTAATTTCACAAGGTTCCTTTCCAAAATTCTAGCACTTTGTGACTTCCTTTCTTTCTAACCATCTTGCTTCCTAAGTTTCTTTTCTATAGAATATATTATGAAAGTAATATCGCGAAGAATGATTTAAAATGTTTATTTTATTTCATTAGATAGTATAAGTGATTTTGATTGCACTTACCAATAATGCCAGTTGACTGACATCTTGCCCCTGCAGTGCCTAGAAGGACAAGGTAAAAACAAAACGTCTTTGAATGGTGAAGGGAGAAATTGGTTTATTCGTGAATCATCAATAGCTCAGTAATCAGACTGTATACCTTAGTTGCTTTTCAACCGGTAGCCGCTTACATCGTTTTCAATAGATGGTGTTGTACCTTGGACATGGTTAGGTACATTTTTGTGCAATACAGATATAGCTATGAAAAAACCATTTGAGATGCGTTAAGGAAAGAATTAAAGAACCGAAGTTGACAAAATAGTACAAAACCAACATGAAGATGGTGATAGCTAATGATGATAGTTAACCGGCAGCAACTACGAACTTGGGAGAAGGTTATGTCAAAAAGGAACAAGAAATATTTTGTAACAGCTAAAACGAGTTCACTGCTCACCATTCCGGCATTCACAGCTGTAGTAGTCTTTACACGGGACTTGCTTGCATTCGCCGTCGTTGAAGCAAGAGTCCTCCTCGCACATACCGAGGGCGAACTCGCAGCGGTAGCCGGTCACACCTGCCGGGCAGACGCAACGGAATTCCGGGCAGTCCCCTGAACCTTCCATACATGGCATGGGTATTGTCTCACACCTCCCGCCATTCTCACACGTGTTCTCATCGCAGACAGTTGGTAATGGGATCTCACATGTCACACCTGTAACGAAAGAACAATTATACAAGATCACGCCAGTGTGTTTAGATAACTGATAGGCAAAGATAAATGATTCTACCATATGTTCAGATTATGTTGTTATAAGATAAGATGCTATAGGATGCTGTTCAACAGACTGCTCAGCACCCATTATGAACTGAATCATGATCAGGTCAAAAGTATCAAATTGTATTTAATTGTAAGATGATTGAGAAGACACGTGGTATATCCATCTGGATCTTAGAGCAACATTTTTGATGCCGCCAGACTAAGTCTTCAATACAATAGACCTAAAGCTGTAACAAACCATAAAAGAAAAACCCAATGTGGATTATTTTTGTTGGCTTATTTAGGTCAAAAGGAACGACTCATTTAAGTTGGTTGAACAGACATGTATCTGGATTTTATAAGATCATAATGTTTTGATGCTCCCAGTTTTCAATACAGTAGACCCCCTTAAATAATATAAATGAACCTAACTTGTACATCGCTTTAATGTTGCATTCGTCAGCTTGAAAACTATAATTCTTGCTCTCGTACCTGTGAAATGTGGAGGACACTGACAGGAGTACTCCGGAGGAGTGTCGCCTCCCATCTCCCATCGCATACATGTGCCTCCGTTTTCACAGCGGGATTCTGATGCACAAGGATCGGTGAAGTTCTCACATGTCTCGCCGTGGTATCCCAGGCGGCACAGACACGAGAATTCATCATCACCCAAGTCACAGCAACTTGCACCGTTCATACAGGGAGAACTCTTGCAGGCTCCTGTAGCTGGAATGTATTGAAAAAACTGGTACAATTCCTGTAATTGGGTCCTACCTTATAGTCATCTTTCGGTAGTAGTCGAAACTGTGTCCAAACACTGGTGAGGACACTGAGGGATTCGGTGTCACAAATGTGCCAAGATACGCACTTTTGCCACTAAGAATATTTTATATCTTTGTAGTAGTAGATTCCTATAACATAAGATGGGAGGAGCCATTCTACATTTGATTCAAAATCAATGTAGGCAAAGGGATAAAACCTAACAATTCCGTAATATGCTTTGCTGCCAATTTATGCTTGCATTATGTAATAGCTTTCAAAGAGGTTTTACGAGTAAATAGGGCAGGAACTGTGAATCTGTAAGATGTATTTGCAGGATACAAAGAAACTTACGACAGCCTCTTTCGTCGCTCCTGTCCCCACAGTTGTCTTCATCGTTACAGGTTCGGTTCTGGTGCACGCACATGCCGTTATCACACCAAAATACGTCAGGTTCGTTACAATCTAGGATGAAAGAAAATAATGCGAACAATAAAGATAAAGGACCATAAAACGAAAATAAGTATATTCTTCAACATGAATATGAAGTAGGTATATGATCACTACTGGACCATCTACATGTGGGGTAGTATGTGTCAATATCATACATACTACTTATTCTGAATATTGAGTGTCATTTGCCAGCCTAAAATTGCATTGAATGTTTTTAAACAACGTAAAGCACCCTACCTAAATAATCTCCGCCGCCCTCGCACTGACTCCTGGGAATACACCTCCCATCTTGCATTGCGAATCCAGCGTTACACTGACACCCCGGGATGCAGACTTGTGTACAGACGGGTGCGGGTTCCTCACAGGTGGGCTGGCAGTCTCCGTTACCACAGCTGGTGAAGTAACTGTTTTCCCCGCACTCGGGGGCTACTGAGGGCGAAAACGTCGGTGTTATATCTTAATCTATTGGTCAAACATTACCCGTGTTTGTGTAATCTCAGCCTTTTATAGCGATGGATTGATGCAGTGTTTACAATCACATAATATACATTATCATATTCGGGCAGAAGAGGGCCTAGGGTGGTTCATGTTCGTGGCCTCGCGCTACATAATAATAACTAGAGTTCCCCGATCTCATATCTTCGCCAAATGATGTTCATCTTTATGACTGACAAATATAGAGCCCCCCCTTTATTTAACAAATAGGTTCCTTATTTTCATTAATTATATCAGGTTATTATATTCTCAACCAAAAGACAGTCTTACATTGGCAAACAATGCAATTGTAGCATTTCCTCATAAATTATGCAAATGAGGTACTGATTTGAATACATTTTGTTTAATGATGTTCACCTGCACTGCACTTTCAAATACCACAAGCATGAAATTCCTGGCATTTGTCATTACAGAATCATTACATTTACTCATTAATTATGCAAATTAACTCTCATTTACATAATTAATATCTGCCTGTGTTTCTCTCGTTCTCAGTTACCAATCTCACAAGCTTCAATAGTCCTATCGTACAATACAGATGATTTATAGAATTTCCCCATAAATTATGCAAATTACATCCATATTTGCATAATAGTCATATAATTGTATCAAGCATCACGTAAGCTACCTACATACCAAAAATCACGACGATCCGTCCACCGGTTCTTGAGTTATCCTCTTTTGAATATTTTCAAACAGATAGCCCTGCAGTTCCAGAGGAAGCCGCTAGGGGGCCCAAACTCACGTCACGTCTTCCTAAACACAAGAGCTACCTACCATCCAATTTTCGTCACCCCAGCATGTCTAGATCCCGAGATATCAAAACCGGAAGTTCAGCTGCAGTACCATAACAAGCCGCTAGGGGGTCCAAAATCTAATCATTTTGAGGTCTCATCAAGACCTACCCACCTACCAAGTATAAAGACAATCCATCAAAGCCTTCTTGAGTTATCGTGTTTACACACACACACACACACACACACACACACACAGACACAGACACACAGACACACAGACACACGAACGCCCCTGAAAACATAACCTTCTTGGCGAAGGTAATAACTAAAACTAGCGATTGAAAATAGTAATAGATTCTTATGAATAACCAAGTGGTTTGTTCAGTGACTTACCAACCTGACGATACTATTCTCGGATAAACCAGCGATTATTTATTCATTCTTTCAATTTGAATTTCGCTATCTGTTAGCAATTTAGGCAGTTACACGTAGGTTTAAGTTGCATGAAGTGAATTGTCAAGTTCATTGTCATGAAAGAAAACTGCAAATGAATCCCTTGGTAAACATTGCGCAACATTGATGATGGAATATAGTAATGTTGTGCTTCAATTATGTAAAGCCGTATTGAAAATAAATTAACTGGTATTTTCTTAACTAGAGTTCCCCGACCTGACAAATTACCTTCGCCAAATGATGTTCATCTTATGACTGACAAATTATGGAGTTCCCCCCTTATTTAACAAATAGGATCCTTATTCTCATGAATAATATCAGTTTATCATATTCTCATACAACCAAAAGACAGTCTTATATTAACAAACAATGCAATTCTAGCATTTCCTCATAAATTATGCAAATGTGGTCCTGATTTGAATACATTATGATTAATGATGTTCACCTTCACTAAACTTTCCAATACTACAAGTATGAAATTCCAGGCAGTTATCATTACAAAATCATAACATTTTCTCATTAATTATGTAAATTAAGTCTTAATTTACATAATTAATATCTGCTTGTGTTTCTCTCGTTCTCAATTACCAATCTCACAAGCTTCAATAGTCCTATCATGGAATACAGTTGATTTATAGAATTTCTCCATAAATTATGCAAATTGCATCAATATTTGCATAATTATCATATAATTATATCAGGTATCACATACGGTACCTACATACTAAAAATCATGACGATTCGTCAACCGGTTCTTGAGTTATCCTCTTTTGAATATTTTTAAACAGATAGCCCTGCAGTTCCATAGCAAGCCGCTAGGGGGCCCAAACTAACGTCACTTCTTCCCCAGCACAAGAGCTACTTACCATCCAAGTTTCGTCACCCTAGCATGTCTAGATCCTGACATATCAAAACCGGAAGTTCAGCTGCAGTACCATAACAAGCCGCTAGGGGGTCCAAAATCTAATCGTTTTGAGGTCTCATGAAGACCTACCAACCTACCAAGTATAAAGACAATCCATCAAAGCCTTCTTGAGTTATCGTGTTGACACACACACACACACAGACACACGAACGCCCCTGAAAACATAACCTTCTTGGCGAAGGTAATAATGTGGGGGAATTATGACAAATATTGTGAACAAAAAATCACCTTGTCTTGCCGGGCAGTCCCCTCTGATGCAGATCCTCTGTTCGCTGATAGTCGGCGTTGTTGCGTGCTTGCTGAGGGTTTGAGAGTCATGATTATAGGTGCCCCCTAGCGCGTAGAACATGTAAAGGCAGTCGTCGTCAGTGAAGGCCAGATCACTGTCGTCACCTGGGTGTAAAAAATCAACAAAGGATTATCAAACAATGAAACAAGAAGCCATAGGTGACAATTCTCCGTGAACTTTTATATATTGCAACAAAATTAAAAATAATCTCAAGGGTTAACGCCAGACCTACTGTGCAGACATTAGGCAACGGTTAATACAATGAGCGCCCGGCACAACCAGAAAACATAAAAAGACCTAAATCCATTACTGCTCCAAGGTTGTGTAAAGACTGTGCTTCAAGTTCATTTTAATTACACACACACAATTTCATTGCATTCACATAAAGATCGTCAGTAGTAACAAAGACAGCCCCACCGTCTTACCGTGCCTGTTTCTTATCAAGCGCGACTGGCCAGGCCACGCACCGCGAGTGTAACTATTACTACCGCCGGTTAGATAGATACCCGGGCGAAAACATTTCACCGACACCATAGGGATGTTTCAAAAATACGCATTAACATCAGTATCAAAACTGCTAGGGTGAAAATAAAAAGACGTGCATCACCACGGACATAGTGGCACACCACATGCCAAATTACACAGTAATAGCACGTACGGAACAATACGTTTTTACTGTCCACATGTTCTACAAACGGCCCCATTCCTTAAGCATGGGGGAAAAACATCTGGTACCACTTATCGACCCCTCCTCGTATCTGCTTAAAGTTTGTTCCTCCCCCCCCCCCCCCGCTATTCCAAACAACGCGTTTTTCTAGACCATTCCAATTTGCCTCATAATTGTAGGGGTGCGTTTGCAATATTACATTGACCGCGAAAACAGCAACGCCGAAAATACACATTCGTGCATCAACGCGGGCATGCCCACAGACGGCGTACAAAATTGCATGCCGACTACACAAAGACAACCCCGTGTTATAGCCGCAAACACGAAAATCCAGCCCCTCACAACACTCCGCCAGGAGGTCCTGGCCTCCTTCACTAAGTAATAAAAGTGATAGCGTAAACGATACGGTAATGGATTAATTAATCAATCAACTTTGCTTGACAATCGTACAAGGTACAATGGATGGCAATACTACTAACAACAATGCAACAAAATTCAATCAATCCTACATTCAGAACTACAAACTATCAATGTACTAATATATGACATATTATCATTTAATGTATGGACGACAGATTGGTCTCACTTTTGGAACATTACAAAATAGCAGACTGTAAGAAACGAGCTACCTAATGACGATGCGCAAACTATGAATTCGTTGATGGGGAAAATAAAAGCTAATTGTTAACAGCATCACCTCACCTGTGTTACGCTGACGGGTGAAGTTGACGTTGATCACGCCGTTGTTGTATGAGCCCTGCGGATTCTCTACATCGTCAGAACTGTCTTCCGTCGGCATACTACGTCCACTTGCCCACCTTAATTATCATTCAAAATAGAGAAGATATGTTTACAAACATGTCATTTTTTTCAAGGTGGTCAAAAAGTATTTGGTTTATAAAAACGACTGTATCAAAAACGACAGGGAAAGTAGAATTTTACTGCTGCCACGTGTTTGTTGATTGATAGACATATGCTGTGACGTAGTCTCCACCAGACTCCTTTGCTGAATAAATTGTAGAAATCGGCCTAAAAATGGGATATAATTGGCCAGAAAAGTTTGCTGGCCATAGAGGTTCCAGTTTGCCTGCAAAGGAGTCTAGTGGATACTAGCTTCGACGATAGAACGTAGAAGTGACACTAATACCTAAACCATCGGATCAGCCGTAAAACTTCAACTTTTTTCAAACGTCCTATGTCGTGTTTTACATGTATCTTAGAATTCTCTTAAAACATACAAAGTCTACAAACCTATCAGTAATGGAGACGCCACCGTCGGATGACACCGCAGCGACAATGACATCACTGTTGGCCTGGAACATTCACTTAACGTTACCTCAGGTTCTTTTTAAGAATATTAATGATTCCATAGATCAATAACTTTAATAGTACATCTTTGCATATTTTCTATCCATGTAACGTATGATATCAATGGGAGAACACAACGTTTTAGCTTATTTTAGAAAATACCCAAATATATCGAAAACATAAACAATACACATGACTTACCCAAAGCTAGGCGAAATCGACAAAAATACTAGTTTTGCTGACAATAATTACATCATACCATCAGCTGGTCGTCGGAGAAACCGATGCCTATCCACTTGTCAATTGTCTGTCTGGCGCTCATCTCGAAGAATATCTGAGATTTAACAATTAAGATTATTTAGCCATGAAAGCCAATATTAACATTCTGCTGCTGTAATACACATACAAGACAACACCTGATCGCCAGGATTCAAATGATAATTATAATTATGTCAATAAAAAAAAGGCTCAATCCTTCTTGCAAATGCATTCAGGAAGTTTTCAAGCTGTCAATAATGCTCTCCCGTTAGTTCTTCATATAAGTGGGGATTTTGTGTGGTCGTGTGGCGCAACGGTAGAGTGTTCGTCTCAGAACCAAGAAGTCGCGGGTTAAAACCCTGCCACCGATCTTATGACATTGGGAAAGAACTTTACACGACTTTCTTCACTTAAGGCCATGCTGATTTGATTATATGGATGACATCCGCGTGCGCATTCATTCTCATCCGCTTACAGAAAATCGTACAAAGCATTACTGCAATTCGCAAAAATATGCCGAAGATTGCAAAAATATATTGGAGAACGGTACTAATGTCTTGGCAAAAGCAATTCAAAAGAAAGTATGGAGTGATGAAAATAAAGATTCTATTATTCGCCATACCATACTCACCATACAGTGTGTTTAGTCATTTGCTCAATCTTTATGACCACGTAGATTTACTAATGAAGGTCAACCTTTTTTTTTATCCGCACGCTGGCAACAGTTTTGAGGTTTCCAGAAGATCCATATCATCAAATCAACATAGCCTTACTCAGGTGTAAATGATTATTGGATTGTCCTCTGTGTTGGTAGAGGCATAGAAATAAGTTGGAAAAACTTTGGTGTGCCGTCTCTACGTCTTGTGATTAAAAGTTCCTCATACCTTGTCGGTGTCTGAGTTGTACGTCCAGGAGACTGAGTGGTCACAGTCGTCACCCCGGCATCCCTCCGGTGTTCTCCACCTACCACGGCAGTCCCCTTCTGAAATCGTCACAAAATACCATATTTCATCATCTTGAAGCAAACACTAAGCACTTTGGGGGCACATTGGAAGACATACATGTATATCTAAAAGAATGCTAAATCAAACTGTCGCACATGTCAGTCAATATTCTCAGCTTAACAAGTATTTTAGATTCTAATTGTTTATCCAGGCCTGCAAATTCAAAAATATGTAAGATATCACTGTAATTTTTACTTCTGCTTTATTAATGACCTGTACTTAGCATGTAAGAGCAGTAAAGATCTTTCATTCATTCTGAAATACGACAATACAGATAGTAACTTATTATGTATATTTAAAAACAAACAAGAGATGTCAAGAACGTTACCAGGCAGGCTTTTTCCAGCAATGACCTAAAATGACGTGAAGTGGAATAAGAGAAATGCTTACCCGTGCAGTTCAAAGGAGCGGGGATTGCATCCCGGCTCCCGACACAGGTACAGGTCACACGGCCTTCTGTGAAGGTCTCCCCGTCTTGGTAGTATTGTCCGTCGCGTTCGCAACCTACAACATTGGGTATCAAATGGTGTCATTAATAGCAAGTATAATCTCCAAGCTGATTCCACGGTAGGTTGCAAGGTATCCAATGGGCCATGCAGTGTCCATTGGTCGATTAGATACTGCCTTGCGACCTTAGGATCTGCTTGGAGATTATCAATACGAACTATGATATATCTATATCCTTCAATGTAGCTGCTTACACTTTGAGGCAAGCCGGACGCAACGATAACCTGTACAACTCTCTAAGACAAGCATTGAGAGATGTGTATGCCAAGAACAATACTCTCATAGGTAGAACTGTACTTGGATAAATTTGATAAAGCGTGAATAAAGTATTATCTACATTTTGACAATAATTAAGGTTCATGTGAAATTCATAATTGTTTGTACTCAGGCAAATAAAGATGAAACTAAACATCTTGGGGGTGAATTTTCACATTTCAAAAAAAGACGACAGGCTTACATCCGAATCCGAAGTTGTCCGAGACGTAGATCTGGCCGTTTTCATCGCAGTATGTACCGCTCCCCCTACAGCCGGTCGTCTCGGATATTGTGGTTCCCGGAGGATAAATTCGACCGTCGTACTCACAACCGGCGGGCGGTGTTGGCGGAGGGGTGTCAGGTCTCGGTACCGACGGCGTGGTTGTTACTGTGGTGAGGAAAGAAAAAACTATTCGTAGAAGACACCCAAAATCACCACATCTTCCAAGCCTTTACTGACGAAAACTACAAACCTGTTAACCTCTCAAAACACATTCATATGATGCACTGCAGAAAAGTCAACCCAAAATGTTTAGATTGTATTTTGAGTAGAATAGTCAATTGTTTTAATAGAATAGTCACTTGTTGTTTCTCTTTATATATGTTGTACACATTTTATGTTGCAATTAGAGTTCGGGCATGAATTTGCAAATAAACTTCTACTGTGGTGAGAGTCAGTAGATAACGTAAGCTACAAGGTAAGACGTTAGATACCTTCATTTCAATACAACATAATGTTCAAGATGACAGATGCTGTGGTTGGAAATGAAGTTAACAAGTTCTGTACCTCCGCAGTTCAAAGGAGCAGGTTCTGCATTCTCGCTCCCGACACAAGTACAGGTCACACCGCCTTCTGTGAAGGTCTCCCCGTCTTCGTAATACTGTCCGTCACGTTCGCAACCTGCAACATCGGCGAAATTTTAATACTGGAGCTTTTCTTTGAATATCCTCTGGTCTTCTTGCGCTTGATCAAGCCGGAAACAACGGTAACCTGTACAACTCTCGAAGATAGAAATGTATGGCTCTCGGTAGAACCATACGTGCATGAATCTGAATAAGTGCAAATAAAGTATTTGGATGTATCTAATGAAGTGTAAATGCAGTATTGCTCTAAATATTGCCAATAATTTAGTCAATTCAGATAAATAAAGATCAATACGCTTGGGACTGAATGTTCAAACCAAAATTACAGAAAATCAAGACTACAGCTTACATCCAAATCCAAAGTTGTCCCAGACAAGGATTTCGCCATTTTCATCGCACAATTCACCGCTCCCCATACAGCCGGTGGTCTCAGAAATGGTTGTTCCCGCAGGATAGAAACGACCGTTGTACTCGCAGCCTAACGGGGTTGTCGGCTGCTGTGTTATCGGCTGAATGGTTGTAACTGCAATAAAGCAGAGAGTCAGTCTGAGAGACATACAGAGAGGGGGAGGGAGAGAGAGGGAGAGAGAGGGAGAGAGAGGGAGAGAGAGGGAGGGGGGCAGGTCTCCGACATATTGTCGGTGCTAGAGGTTGCAAATATCCTTTG